TTCCTGAAGGATGGCGTGTTGGGGAGTGTCATAGTCAGTAGGCAATCTTCAACCTTCAAATTCTTCAGCCTCGCCCAGCAGGTCACCAGCTGGCTGTTTCTGTTGGGCCCAGCTGGTGCAGTTTTACTTCGACACACACAGTATTACCTGCTCATACTCTGGAGGCAGACATACATGAACATGACTCCGTGAGCTGGGAAGTTATATTTCTCTGAAGCTCATTTTAGTCCTTCATGAAACAAGGATAATGGTAGGAGTACAGCATAGGGTTGTTGTGAGAATTAGCACCTGAAGTGTTTAGCACAGTGCCTGGTACATAATTAGTGCTCAATAAATGTTAGCCCATCAGTTCCACTGAGCTTTTTTAAGTTCCGTGAGTAAGACAGCCATCTGCCTTTATCATTTTCTTTCATGAAATAGATTACAGAGTCATAGGAGCTCTGCGAGTGCCTGTGATTCACACCAGTTTGGAGGGAAATACTCATTTCACCTGCAGTCACCTCTTTTGCTTACTCCCATGCTGACCCATCAGGCTAGATGATTTCACAAATGAGTGAAAACTAGTCACAGCAAACAGTGTCACTATGAGCACTTTTAGAAAATTTTAAAGTAATTTAATGGTCACCTTGCAGCCACTCAGAATCGGCCAGATGCTCAGTTCATGCATCAGATATTTCAGAGAATGCTCAATAGACATGTTACCTATTAGAAATCAGAGTACCTGAAACATCATATTTCAGTTCCATCCATAAATGCCTGCATGACTTAGAATCTAAGTCATAGATCTTAGATCCATGTCTTAGTCCAACCTTTCTCCCATTAGCCTTGATGCTGCAATTATTCATTTGAATATTATTTCTGTGCCTTCAATCAAAGCCATTCTGAAAGATGATTTTCATGATCCCATTTAAAGAGAGAAATTGAGAGAGTGTGAGAGAGAGTGTGGGGAGATGCATGAAAGATGGTCACCAGAATATTAATGGTGAATCTTAATTTAGTAGACTTACGGTGTTTTTCTCTCCTATTGTGCTTTTATGTGTTGATGTTTTTTATAGCATGAATGACTTAATTTTTAAAAGCCTTTTTAATTGTAAGAGATAATAGTCACTCAATGTCTCTTCCCCCAAAATGTTGATGAAAAATTTTAATTCCAGAGAAGTTTATTTTAGCAAATAAATTTGTAAGTATTCTTCATTAATGAATTTTTTGAAATCTATCTTACTTCCCTTTTTGCCTTTACCAAAAACTTACAACCAAAATGAGATTGCCTTTGCAACTTAATAGTTCGCTTTTAATTTTCTAGGTAACCTCATTCATTTGTAAGATAATCTTCTATTACAGTTTACTTTTCTGACCGTGTTACACTGAACTTGTGCTGTGATGTAAGCCAGACCTAGACGCAGTCACTTGTGAAAATTTGTGAGCAAGATGAAGCAGCACTGTCCCGCTGAAAGGGCAGGCATGCGGCACCCCCTGGCCCCATGGCGGCCTCGGCCTCCACCCACCGGGAGGATTGCTGCCCCCAGGGCGAGCGCACTGCCATCTCCCTCACCCCGCTGCAGGGTTACCTAGGGCTTGACGCTACTGGCTGAATCAGGAGTCAATCAAAAGTCCATGTGCCCGGGGTCACTCCTGTGAGGAAATACTCCAGGTGCTCACCCATCACTAACTGTGCTTTTTAATTTTGTTAACATTGCAAATCTAGTGAATGTTGAGACTTTGCAATATAAACAGGATAGTAGTCAAAGAAGCAAATAAACCAAGGTGAATATATTTTTATAGATTGAGTTTCATGCCTCTGTTTCTTGGCACCTAAGTAAGCCAGGTTATTGAGTTCCGTTCCCAAGGGGGTTTTCCCCTCTACTTCGTTACTCAGACGAACCCTGTTAAAGCCGAGCATTTACCGGCTTACATTTGTGTCAAGCCAGTTTTCTCTCAACAGAAGAAAAGTCAATACTGTCTTTTTATTTTTTTTTTTTTGAGGAACAAGTTATAAGTAAAACCTGTGGGTGATGTAGGAGATATTTTGAGTTGAGTGGAAGGATGGGTTAGATAGTCTCTACAGCCCATTCTCAGTTCCTAGATTTGGGTTCCTGGAAATCATGTCCTAAAATTTGCAGAGTGTAACTCATACATTCAGGATTGACACAGTCTCAGCAGGAGGAAATGTCGGCTGCGGTTAGCATGATGAAGTAACTGGGACAAATGTCAAACCCTGTGACAATGCCCCAGACCCAGTCGCCGGCTCTGCAGCAGGCCAGCGGCCTGGGCTGTCTCCCAGCACCCTTCCTGAGCCGTCCTCCGAGGGTCACGGTAGAAGCGTCTAGACCACATCAAAGGAATTGATGTCTCTGGTTTTACTCTCCACTCAATATTTCTGAATTGTTCTGCTCAGACTTTAAGAGGAGCACTGACATATCTCAATATAAAAGGGTCTGAAAATTCAAGATTTGACGTCTTGGGGAAGCTTAGCTTAGAAAAAGAGGAACCTGGGTGAGATGAGAGGTGTCTCCAGGTGCTGGGAGGATCCCAAAGATGAGAATAGCCCCTACCGAGACCGTACTCCTGCACTGGGCTCTGTTACTCCCACCCGGCCCCGGTAATACTCCAGACAGTCCCCGGTGAGTCCCCGGGGCTCACAGAAGCAACACTCACTGTGACACCTTCTGGAGGCATCCGCAGGGAGGTAGACTTGCACTTGACGTGAGAAAGAACTGCTGTCAGAATTGTCCCCTGGGACAGCATGTCTTGCAGGCTAGTGAGCCGGCCTGGACCTGCTTCTCAGACAGAAGCTACAAAGCTGGAGCTGTTCAGAGGCAGGTCCTGCATCAGGCGGAAGTCTAAGGTTCCTGCCGGTCTGAGAGTCCCTCCTGAGCGGAGCGTCCCAAATGGGCCCTTTCCGGAGCGATGAGAGGGGCGTTTTAGACCACCTCCCACTGTGAGGTCCATTCTGCATGTGACCCAGGACTGCCCTGTGTACAGCTGGAGCAAAAATTTCAGACGTTGTCCTTACTCGTGCAGCACTCTCTGATCTGCTCAGTGCTTGGTTGTCAATGCTAGTCGTGAGCTCGTACATGGATTTACAATCCATGAATAAGTTTGAAAAACTCTGATCTAAAGAACTTTGAATTTTTAGTTCTCAGCTGTTTGCTCACACTAGCACCCATCTTTGTTTATTTTTCTGAGAGAGCCTTTCTGTAACGATGCCAGCGAAGATTTGAACTTGTCCGAGCGGGTTAACGAACCCTGTTCTTCATCTGAGCATTTGCTTTTCCTGTTGGCCTCCCTGAGCCTGAGATACATGCAGAGGAGTAACCTTGGGCCTGTCCGGCCTAAGTGACCCCGAGAAATGGCGTAGGAAGCGGAGCCTGGCATTGACACGCGTCCTGGGTCAGTCCTTTCCCTGCACCGCGTGTCTCTGCTGCTCCGGAGCGAGCCGTTGAAGGGCTCAGGCAGTGTGGGGGAAGATGACAGAGTTGGTTTTCTAAAAACAGTATGACAAAAAGAATTAAAAGCAGTGGGACCTTTGATTGGACTTCTGTACTGTCTTTGGCAGTGGGCTTTTTATTTTTTTCCAGAAGTACCTTTAATGTTATGGCTGCATTAGTTTATAATAAGTAAGTTTAAAGTTTTTGATTCACCCATTAAAAGTCCTCATATCTGATAGCCAGCTTTTCTGAGGAAATATTACCAAAACAATGTATCTTACATGTGCACTAGAGCAGTGGTCGGCAAACCGCGGCTCACGAGCCACATGCGGCTCTTTGGCCCCTTCAGTGTGGCTCTTCCCCAAAATCCCACGTGTGGAGTGCACGTACAGTGCGATTGAAACTGCGTGGCCCATGCGCAGAAGTCGGCTTGCCGACCACGGCACTAGAGTAATTAGTAAAGCCTGGAGCTTACGTGAAGCTGCTGTGAATGGTGTTTCATTGCTCAGGTGCCAGTGTGCCCTGCATGCCAGCCTGGGGCCCGGCTGTGCCACTCAGTCCCCTGCAGCGTTGACCTCAGCCGGCACTTGCCACCGGAGATGAGCTGGGTAGCTCAGTACCGCACAGGTGGGGTTGCGGAGCCTTCCTGCAGGGAGTGACTTAGAAGCAGGCTGGGCACCACTGGGCACAAAGCGAGGAAAAGGCAGAGCAGTTCAGGGCGTTGTGTTCGCTGTGTCTGCTGTAGGTGGCAGTGGCGGTGGTAGGCAGACTCTAGAATTTGAACGTTATTCTTGTAAACAATGCGTAATGTGTAAGGCTTTTCAGCAAAAAGTAATTCCTGGCGGCTGAGAAGCTGCTCCGGCTGGTAGACTGGAGGCAGGAAGATAAGGGAGGTAAAATGCAAAATTGAATGAGGAAGTCAAGGTGATAAGGAAGGAGATGAAATCAAGAAATGTCAGCGATTGTGTGGTAACAAAGGTAGTGGTTTGAACGACGGACCTGGAACTCAGCAAAGAGAAAAGTGGCAGAACGGGGAACCTGCAAGTGAACCAGGCAGCGCAGGGTTCAGGAAGGAGGGCGGTCCTGGTCCCCTAGTGGCGCTGCAGGCAGCAGCACTAGTCCAGGGCAGTAAGGAAGCAGCAGAGGACGAGGTGCCTCAGGCACTGATGCAGGCACCCGTACCCATGGTCCCGGGAGTTCCCATAAGAGCCATACCTCCCTGGAAGTCCGTGCTCTTCACATATTATTTTAAAATAAATAATGGCGTTCTTGTTTGAGGAAAAGGAGGAGCATGTTTTAAGAACAACAGCGACAGATTTCAGGACACTCAGTTTGAGCATGTGTTCAAGCCAGGAACAGTTCATTTGTGGAGTTGTCCCCACCTTTTAAACAGGAAGCTGTTAGCCTACACCAGTGATGGCGAACCTATGACACACGTGTCAGAGGTGACACTAGAACTCATTTTTTTGGTTGATTTTTCTTTGTTAAATGGCATTTAAATATATAAAATAAATATCAAAAATATAAGTCTTTGTTTTACTATGGTTGCAAATATCAAAAAATTTCTCTATGTGACACAGCTCCAGAGTTGAGTTAGGGTTTTTCAAAATGCTGACACGCTGAGCTCAAAAGGTTCGCCATCACTGGCCTACACTGTCCCTGCATTTCTCTGGGAACACTAACACATTCTAAGGGGACGTGGATCTGAGGCTGCTGAGTTCAGGGAAATGCCGATGGCTTAACTGGCTTCCCCGGGGGCTTGGGAAAAGCGGGGACAACCCTCGGCCACTGTCGGTTAGGACCCCTTCCTCTGTTATTTTAAAACATTGACAACTACCCTTTCACTAATTCCTGACCTTTTTTCCTTTTATTCCATAGGGTAGAATGGTTTTAAAGAAGAAACAAACTGCTTTCTGACTGATTGCCTTGAAGGGAAAAAAAGAACCTATTTTTGTGCATCATTTACCAATCATGCCACACAAGCATTTATTTTTAGTACATTTTATTTTTTCATAAATTGCTAATGCCAAAGCTTTGTATTAAAATAAATAAATAATAAAGTGAAAGGCTGTGCTGTTGCGTCTTATTCGCCCACTCGTGTTTGGAAGGCTGACTTGGAGGTCACATGCCCAGGTTTCTGTTTCAGAGACAGAACGTGCTCGCGACTCCCCCTGGGGGGACCGGTGCCACTCATTCTGTTGGCATTTTCATGTTGGCTCCTACTGTGCCCGACTAGGACCCCAGCCTGTGTGTGGTAATGTCCTTCGGGCTCTTCAAGGTCACCATTCACTCTGATGTATCTTGTTCCATTGTTTGTGGTTGATATCCCTCCAGCCACAGCAGCAGCTCCAGGGACATGACATTGCATCACTTGCCACTATCCGCCTACCTAGTAGAGTGCTTTGCGCATAGTAAGTGCTCAATAAATATTTGTGGGATGAAGGGTTAAGTGTAAGAAAAAAATCTCCAAAAGTCTCGCTGATTAATAAGTCTGTCTGACTTTTTTAAACCTAGTTTTTACAGCATCCTTTTAAATATAGCAAATTCTAAAAAGTTGGATGAAAGCAATTTTACATATATAAATGGTATATTTTTGCTTTATTGATGAGCAAGACATTGAAATATTTTGTTATATTGAATCATATGAGCTTGAAGAGTTATCAGTCTGTGTTTCACCCGAGGATATTTTTCCATTGATAATTTTGGAGAGAGTGGGAGGGAGGGAGAGAGAGAAACATCAATGTGAGAGAGACGTTGATGTGGCTGCCTCTTGCACACGCCCCAACTGGCAACGCTTCTGTGCACAGGCCAGAGCTCTACCACTGAGCCACACCGGCTGGGGTCATATGTGTGACATTTTGAGCACTGAGTTCTCAGCCTTCCACCTCAGCATACCTGAGGGTGAGAACATATTCCCGTTGGTAGCAGGTTCCTTCAGCAGTCATGCTCAAATTGGTAGGCTGGGTTGAAGATTTTTTTCCTTTGTTTTGTTTTTTGTTTTTTTAGCTATAATTCTCATACCATAAAACTTACCCTTTTAAAGGGTGAGCCATTTCAGGGGTTTTTATTATACTCACAAGGTTGTACAACCATCACAACTGTCTAACTACGTAGCGTTTTCATCACTCAAAAATGAAATCCTGTACCCATTAACAGTAACCGCTCACTAATCTACTCTGTCTCTATGGATTTATCTACCCTGGACGTTTTCTATAAATACAATTATACAGTATGTGGCCTTTTATCCTATATAATAAAAGCCTAATATGCAAATCGACTGAACGGCAGGATGACCGGTTGCTATGACACACACTGACCATCAGGGGGCAGACACTCAACACAGGAGCTGCCCACAGGCCCCGACAGGTGGCAGTGGAGGATAGGGCCGGCGAGCAGGTGGTGCCAGGCCAGCCAAGGCAGGTGCCAGCAGGGCCCCCTCAGTTTCCCCACCAGTCACCACACAGATCAGCCCTGATCGCCTGCCAGGCCTAGGGACCCTACCTGTGCATGAATTTCATGCACTGGACCTCTAATGTATACACACACATACACACACACACACACACACACAGACATATCTGTGTATGTGTATGTATTTTTTTTTTTCCAGAGAGGAAGGGAAAGGAAGAGAGAGATAGAAACTTCAGTGATGAGAGAATCATTGATTGGCTGCCTCCTGCTGGCAATCAGGGGACATGTGCCCTGACCAGGAATCAAACTGTGATTGACCTCCTGATTCATAGGTCAATGCTCAACCACTGACCCATGCTGGTTGGGCAGTATGTGGCCTGTTGTGTCTGGCTAATGTCTTCAAGTTTTATCCATGTTGTAGCAGTAACAGGACTTTATTCTTTTTTGTGGTTGAATAATATTCCATTACATAGATACACCACATTTTGTTCATCCAGTCAGCCAGTGATGGCTGTTGGGTTCCCACCTTTTGACTGTTGTAAACAAAGCTAGTATAAACATTAGTGAATGGGTTTTGTGTGAACTTACCTTTTCAGTTCTCTTGGTACATTTCTAGGAATGGAATTGCTGGGTCATGGGGTAACTTGATAAATTTAAATTGTTGAAAACTGCCAAAGTGTTCTCCAAAGCAGCTGTACAATTTCACAATGTACAAGGGTTCCTATTTCTCCACATCCTCACCAGCACTCACTACTTTTCTTTTTGAAAAAATTACAGCCATATTTTTAGTGAGGGTACAGTTGCACCTCATTTTGGTTTTGATTTACATTTCCGTAATGACATGATTTGAGTATCTTTTCATTTGCTTGTTGGCCACTTGAGTGTCTTCTTTAGAAAAACGTCTATTCAAGTCCTTTGCACATTTTTAATTGGATTATTTGACTTTTTGTTGTTGAATTGTAAGAGTTCATTATCTATTCCAGATAATAGACCCTTATCAGACGTATGATTTGCAAGCATTTTCTCTTTAAGTCCTTTTTTCCTTTCTTTTTTATTTTAATAAATTTGTTATTTCAGAGAGGGAGAGAGACATAAAAACATCAATGATGAGAGCTGCCTCCTGCACACCCCACATTGGGGATTGAGCCACAGCCTGGGCAAGTGCCCTGTCTGAGAATCAAACCGTGACCTCCTGGTTCATAGGTTGACAGTCATTGAACCACCCCCGTTGGGCTACAATTGCCCTTTATAAAACTGCATTCCCTTCCCCTGCAGTCGTCCCTGTCTTTTTGTTTTTAATTAAAATATAATTGGTGCCTTGGCTGGTGTACTCAGTGGTTAGAGTGTCGACCCACGCTCCAAAGGGTCGTAGGGTTTGATTCCGGGTCAAGGGCACGTTACCTGGGTTGCAGGTTCAATCCCCAGCCAGGGTGCATTCAGGAGGTAAACAATCAATATATCTCACTCACATTATTGGCTCTCTGACACCCCCAAGGGGTATGGATTGTTAGAGGGCAGCTCTCGGGTGATGCACCCCATAATCAGGCTCCCTCCTCTCTGGATCCAGGTGCGTCACCCGAGAACCACAGCTCCCTCTCTCTCTCTCTCTCTCTTTTTCCTCCTTCCCTCCTCTCCCTCTCTCTCCCACTCTCTAAAAATTCTGTACAGATTCGTGCACATTGAAAGGAAATCAATTAGCAGGTGGCCTGCAGGGCAGGACTGGGCAAGATGGGCTGGAAACGCCCTGGAGCCAACCTCTCACAGTCCCTCCC